GATGAATTTCGGCAAGGTGTTTTGCAGATCAGGAACTGATCAGTATCTGTACGATACTGATTCGGTATGTATATTATTGTTAGAATTAGGAATTACAACTGATTAGTATAGTATGGTTTTTAATTTTGGTCTGTATCATATTGATCTGCTCACTTATACCATACTTAATATCATTTCGGCACAGGACACATTACCACGAAAATTCATTCATTAATATAAGGTACAAAGATTATTTTCATTTTGCATTACACGGCATTCAAAATTTCGATCGGTGGTCAGGGTTTTAAATCTAAATTAATCTAAACTAGGAAACAGGCTCTGTTAAAAGTCCGAAGTATAATAAAGAAAATTTATAATTTTAAAAAAACTTATATATTAAGTATAATATATGTATTAAAATAAATAAAAAAATATTATATAATAATTTGCAGTAGCAATATACATATATAGTATATAATGTAATATTGAGCTAATAAAAATTGTTAGCAGCAGAGTTAATATTATTCTAGCAGTATAAGTGATATTTTTTTAGGTTAATTCTGTAAACTTATAGAATAAAAATAAAAAAATTAGTAAAATTGGTCTAGTAGTTGTTGAGAAATATTTGTATAAAATTTAAAAAAATATCAAATATCTTGTGGTCTTGTTTTCTATGTTTAACTTTTTATAATAATTTTATATAAATATTTCTTAAGAACTACAAGACCAATTTCAATAATGTTTTTTTTTTTATTTTATTTTATAAGTTTATAAGATTAAAATAAAAAAAAAACTAACGATCTTGACCTAGTAGTCATTAAGAAATGAATGTTAGAAGTTTTAAAAAAATATTGCGGCGCATATATGCCCATATATATATGTAAAATGTGACTACATATGTAATTCGCATTTTTCAGTTCACTTTATTTTATTTGGCAGTTATTTATGATAGTATTGCACATTAAAAATATTGGCAAAATGAAGATCACTAATCAAGATTTTTTAGTGTACTGTAGAATAGCGGTAATTTAATAGTAATAGCATAGAAAGTTTAAACTGCAATAACGCGTGACTAGCAAAGCGACACAATTATAATTATGTTTTCAGGTTCGTTATAATGTGCTCTTTAACATTACAAAGCTCATTTTGTTATTTTTATTATTTTGAGTTTAGTGAGGAAAATAAAATAATGTCAAAATTCTCGTTTTTGATGTATAAAGCTAAAAACTGTACACATTGCCATAATATGCAATAGCTACGGTTTTGATATTTTTAACAACACCAAATACAAGAATTTTTGGCATTACTTTAATTTGCACCAGATAAAAAAAAAGAGCGTTGTTTACAAATATAATTATATTTGGTGGGTTTACTGTTTCAAGAGTTATTGCAGTTTGAGCTTTCTATGCTTTTTCTATTAAATTAATGCTGATCTATCGATTAACATTAAGGATTTTCATTATATGACTTGTACTAACGTATTTATAATTAGATGATGTAGAGCACGCCGATAACGTACGTACGATTTTTTTGTTAAAAAAGAAGATAATCTAAGTTATGATTTGGTTAGAATATGATCGATGTGTTGATTATTTCTTTTTTTGAAATAGGACTGGCAAATAAATAAGTTACTAAGCCACAACTTAAAAAATTTTATCGACACATTTGATCATTGTACGTACATACAGTTATATATATATACGTTCTGTATAACCCAGTATTTTAAAAATCAGAAATTTTAGCATTTTGATTGTGAGAAATAGGTTTCGGAAGAAAGTAATATGGTGCGTTCTAAATTTTTACATGACCAAAGCTTTACTTAAAGAGATTAATCTCTTTTCTTCAACCTTTCTTTCTTTCAGTCTTTTGCAATTCTTGATTCGCTGGAGTCTTTTGAGTGAAAATAGAGCAAAAAGAATATTTTTAAGGGAACAAACTCGAAATACAGCAACAAATGAGAGACCGGCGGCATATTCTTTTTCACCAAGATCAATTGCAGCTTTTGGTAACGTAAGTCCTTGGCTTTTATGTACTGTGATAGACCAATGCAAGATTAAGAAGGATTTGTAAGCGTGAGCAAGTCATTGTATTGGTTTCCCAGGTACGTCGAATAGGTGGAATTGGGACAAGTTTCTTATGTTCTGTAGATTCAACAGCAGGACTATTGTAATTATCGAATTCTACAAAGACAGCGATAGGAAAAGAAGGTAGGCCCTGATCATCTTCAAATAGAATATTATATACTGTTCCTAGTGCACCATTAACTAATCCTGCTTCTACACATAAATTCGCCTTGAGCATAATGCGCGCATCTCTAGCCAACAGTAGTCGTGCTTCAAGACCTTTCGCTATATCTGAATTAGTTTTAGATACTTCATTACTTGTATGAACAGTGTGAATCCTAGCAATGGGTCGATTTAACGATCTAAGTTTACTAATATTAATTTCATCAACGTCAACTTTCTGAGGCAAGATATATATGGCTTCTGAAAAATTGTTCATACTCCCTAGGCTGTATGCTTGATAAACCATTGAATTGTGTGGTAAGCAATCTCCAATCATCAAATGTTGATTCACTATCACGCAAATGTAACAAAATGGTCCTAAAATTATGTTGCTTATCTGAATTACCAGACTGATATTGAACAACATCAAGCTGATAAACGTCTTGAAATTGCTTATATGAAGCAATACCATCGTTTGATAAAGGGTCATGGCTAAGGCTTTACGCATATATGGAATAATCAAGCACTGGTGGGAGTTGGCCAAAATCACCAACTAGAATGACAGATCGACTACCAAAGGGTGATTTTGATGTTCAGGAAAGGCCTGATGTAGTCGTATGTCAATTAAGGCAAGCATGCGACGTCCCACTATGCTTTTTTCATCATTATGACATAAATCACACCATTTAATTTTTTTTGCAGCTTTTTCAGACGTTTACCAGCTATATCAAAGTTGGTGCCAGTTACTGAAATTGAGAGTGCAGAATGGATCGTTTCCCCATGAATGTTAAAAGCTGCAACCCCAGTTGGTGCAAGGACAATCGCAGGCGAGTTCTCAATAGCGTAGTTTCTTGCTATTAATTTAAGTGTTTTAAGAATCATATTAATCAAATATGATTTACCTGTTTCAGCAGTCCCCATGATAATA